GTGAGTGTCGAAGTCTGTTACCATTCTTTGAGGTGAGAATAGTTTTGCTCCAGAACTTACACAGACTAATGCTTTTGGGTCAGATTGCCCAGCGGCACACTGCCAGGTGCAGTACCACTGCGCTGTTCATGGGAATTGTGTTTTTTTTCCCTCTTCAAGCATCCCTTTGCAATGGATGCCGAGATGCAGCGCGGTGCAAGCAGCGTGCAGTGCTGTGGATGCTCGCTGGAGGGCAGCGCACCACCGACTGCCCTTCCCTGCCGCCCGAAATCCCTCCCAGCTTGGCACGGAGCATGGAGCTGGAGCTGCTCCCTGTTTGCACTCATGTTACAGTTTGTCTTTACGACGGGGATGCGATACCTGCGGTACGGAAAAATAGTGTATTCTCTCCAAACCTGCTGCGCCTGACTGGGGAATGAGTTTTTGCAATGAATTCTAATTAGCTTGAGCAATCTGGTCCTCTCTGTGTGCTTTTCCAGGGAGATCATAGTAACTAATAGCCCAGAGAGGTTCTTCAGGCTTTTTGGATGGTTAACATTTAACTGAAATTTTATGTTGAGCTGTGAAACTGGTCATTTGGATTGAGCTACATTAGCAGGTTGATAGAGCACTGTAACTGCAATATTGCAGTTGATAAAAGCAGCTCTGAAATTCAGTTAATGAGGCCTCAACTAGTAGAAGAACCTGGGTCTACCTTATACAAAATTAGTGGAAAAGATGGTTACTGTGTAACTTCCTGACATACTGATTTGATGCCGGAAAGCTCTTTGTAGACCCAAGCTATAAGGAGACAGAACAAATCTACTTGGACAGAAGGACCATGAAGACCCCTCCCGGGTACCCATCAGCTGTTGAGAGTCTCCTCTGTTTTGCCAGAACTTTGTGGGATTTAGGTGATTCCTGGCCGACTCTCTATATAAAAGCGTAAAGGAAACCTGCCATAGGTTTAACTTTGAAGAACTGAGTTAGAACATGCTGGCCTGCTTGTGCAGTGCACATGTGGGCTGTTCTTGCAGAGGGAAAGCTCAGGCTGTCCTGAACTTCCCCGTTGAGCTCCCTGGATGTCTGGCTCAGGACACAGGTCGGCCAACAGCCAGCTGGGGGCTGCTCTGGTGTGGATCAGGAGGCTCCTGCTGCCAGCTCCCTCTCTGCTCCTTACATGATGCGGTTCTACCTTGCTAGGGGAGAAGCCGGTTCCTTGCACGTGGGCAGCTGTCAGCAACTGCCAGGGACCAGCCTTCATCTTTCAAGGCTGGGCAGGCCTTGGTGTATGGCCCTTCACAGGGAAAACGATGCTCTACCGTCGTTATCTCTCCTGCCTTAAAGTAAGCTCCATGGCTACCAATCTCCTCTTGTTCTAATGTCATGCCTCAGCCCACTGTGCTGCCTCAGGTAAAGCTCGATTTTGGGCCAAAGCAAGGAGCTGGGTATCAGGCTTACAAGTGGTCCTCTGCTCTGTCCCAACAGGACTCTACAGTGGCAAGGAGATTCCTGCAGGGGAGGCTCTGTGCCTCCCCAAACACTGCCCCAGCACGGTCCTTACCAGTATCACTTTGGGGAACAGGTATGAAAATTCACCAAAGTGAGCCTGGTAAAAAAAACTTACTGACATATAAACATCATGCTCCCCTTCTCAAGTATTTAAAGCCTCAAAACCCAAATAATCAGGTTTTCTGGCCTTAATAATTTCAGCAGCCACAGAACCTCAGGGAAGCATCTGTTGTGTTTTCACATGATGTGCTCTTGGCTACCTCCTGCTGTACCGGTGCATCACCAGACAACGCACAGAGCTCCCTGGGAAGGAGCAGAGGTTGTCAGCCCCAGACAGCACAGAGCTGTCCGGATCTTTCTCTGTACTGCTGAAGTGCTTGGAAAGCCACCAAATTGTTCTTGCTATGATTTCCAAGATTGGCTGCTGGGGTGTGTGTTGTTGAAGCAGATATATGCATCTTTACGTGCATCTTCTCAGCCCGATGAGGTTTGTGCCATGAAGAAGTGCAAAACTGCACTGGAGTACCAGGGCTTGATCCTCCTTTGGTGGGAGTGGAAGGTCACAGCAGGGAGCGGTATGAGATCAGATCCTGGGCGCTCTGTAGGCGGTCCTGCTCATCTTGGCTTTGTCTGCAGTTCAGCGAGTTGCCGAATTTCCCCTTCTCAGCAAGTCTTTGGGTGGTGTCAATTCCTGTGGTGGCTTTCTTATTTGGCATGAGGACTGTGGTCCTTTGCTGGCTTTCTCCTACTGACTTTGCCTTGAGCAGCCTGCAGCACCTGATGTTAGGCTGGACCCATCCAGTTGAGGGATTTAAACCTTGACCTTTTAATGAGGAACTATGTGTGTCCACCCAGTGCCTTGAGCTCTACAATTTAGACAGGAGGCACTCTCACACCTCCTTTGCTCAGAAGCAGTGGAAGGACAGCAAGGGAAGGGGTGAGCTCGACAGACGGGATGGTTACTGTTGTGACAGAGTACTCAGAAGCCTTTTTCTCTAGAAGAACCTTCAGTTATGCTACGGTCACAGTGTCTCAACAGAGTCATTAGGGGTGCAACAAGAAACCCCATTGCACCAATTTCCTCCCATAGAAGGAAGCTCATTGTTCAAAAAGAGGGCTGGATCCTGACAGCTGTAATTCCTGCACTTCTCCGGATTAAACATAAACTGGTGGAAAAGAACAGTTACGAAATCAACCTCCTAGAGAGCGCTGATTGCCAGCTCTGGATTTCCAACCCGTTGACAGTATTTCCCACAGAGTCCCACAAAATTCACAGCTGGGACTGTTGTAAGGGTGGGCTCCACCAAGCTCTAGCTTCAAGGATAAAAAGAGGTGGGGACCCAGCAATTTGAAGGCATTGTTGTGCATCTTCACATGTCTGAACACTCCCGAGCATCTGCTTGTTGGCAGAACACCCTGTTCCCCCTTGCTGCTGTGGGCAGGGAGCTGTTTGAAAAGTGGTCAGGAACAATGGGTTGCGATGCAGATGGCCGGAAGGAAGCTGGGCATTTAAAAGGAGTGTCACAAAGTCTGGAGCAGATGTCACACAACAGAAAACTGAATTATCCCTCCCCGAGATACTCTGCTGGTGGAGCTGCTACATGGTTTGGGCTTCACACTCACCTACAGTTTAATTGCAGTAAGTGGGAGACCTCCGCTGTAAGCAAGGATCCCCTTATCCAGCTTCCCTGGAGATGGAGGTCTTGCTTTGACTTTGGAAAAGCATCTAGTCCAGAAAACAAAGAGACATGAAAAATCGTGTTAATTCCCTTTTCAGAATAATTCAGCTATTTCATGGTGGAAAACGACACAAGTGTTACCTGTAGGTGTATAAACAGGTACTTCTGGGTGCTCTAAATGCTATTTTAGATCCCCTTACACTGGGGTTATGTCTTGGTCCAGTGGAAGTGGTGGTGAGAAGTAACCAGCAGCAGCACCAGCTGCATGGGGCAGGAGCCGTGCCACAGCCTGAGCCTTCTGGCGCTCTCCTGTCAGCAAGGAGGAGATTGAATGACACAGGGTGGTTTGGGCAGTTTCTGGCCTTTCTTGCATTTTTGACAGATGGCGCACACGCTGATCTATGTTTTCTTTTATACAGTGGTAAAAAGCTATGGAATAGAAATGCCATTATTAATAAGCTGTCTCTGGAGAGATGTCTCAGTGGAGCAGCTTTTCAGGATGAGTAAGTATTTCCACAAAGTTGTCCTCACAGCTCTGGTAGATCCTACTGTACCCTGCAGAGGTGTCTGCTCTCCAGCTTGCTTTTTACCTTGTATCTCATCAGGCCACGCTGTTAGTAAGGGCTGAGCCCTGCAGGGCTCATGGACTTGTCCGAGCTCTGTTGCCACAGCTCGGAACCCACAAACAAGATCTGGGCATCCTTACCAGCACCCTCCCTCCTCCAGAGCCAGGCTTGGTGGCACAAACAAGGGGCAAGCCAGCTTCCTGGAGCTCCGTGTGGGTGTAAGGCAGGGATTAAGGGCAGCTCCACCCAAATATAGGTCACGGTGTTGAGGACACCTCGGACAGGGTTTCAGTTCTATGGCTGCTCCACTCTTACCACCCTGCATTCACCGCTCCTCCAGTTCCTCTCCTCTGCTTCTTGCCCTGGGGCACCTGGTGCTCACTAACTCATCGTTGGTCCATTGCCTTCAGCACCGTTCTCTCCTCTCCCTTATGTGATCCCAGCAAAAAATGTGGTGTAAATAGCAAGGATCGTTCCCATCTAGGCGAGGGCAGAAACTTTCCCCCTTTCCTTCGGAGAGGTTCCCAAGGGACACATCATCTGCCAGGGCAGCAGGGGGTTCTGCTCTGTGTTGCTTGGCTGGGTGGGGGGCTCATGCCCCAGCTCAGGGTACTCACAAGGGTGTGGGCAGCTGGTATTTGCCTCTTCTAATTCTTTACTGCAAGTTATATTAACAACTGCCTTTACTTTTGTGCTGGGTTTGTAGGTCAGCACCTAGAAAGATTTTTGTAAAGTTGGGAAGTTCCTTACTTCCCAGGGGAATCAGCTTTTAAACCTGGCTAATGCCACCTTCTGCAGTGCAAGAAGGACCGCAAGTGAGGAGAGGAGTGCCCACTGGTTTTTAGAGACCTTCCTAAAGATAATGAGGTCAGTCCAACTTGAAGAGTAACTGCACAGAAAGCAACTAAAACTGTGTGGGCGGCTTTGGCCTGCTGGACCTGCAGGGGGGGTTCAGTGAGAAGGACTCGAAGCAGCTGGATGTAGCAAAACCAGCTTCCTTTTCTTGCAAAACAATTGCACAATGGGCAAAGGTGTCTTACCTGGGCCTATAAACAGCTACTCGGAGAGGAGCTGTGTTGCTGCTTCTCCTGATCAGCAGGACTCGGCCTGTGCTCGGAAGAGGAAAAGCAGCAGCATTGGACTGCAGCACCTGCACCTGCTTGTGTTAAAAACAGCTGCCCAGAACTGAGCAGTGGTGTCTGTCTTGTTCTCCACGTGCTGTGGATGTCAGCCCCGTGGTAAGGAAATAAGTAAGAAGATGCCTGTAACCATACATCCAGCCTGAGTCAAACAAATCACTTTCTAGTTCCTGTGGTGTTGTCAGAAAAAAAGTCCAGAACCCAGAAGCCAATTATTTCGGAGTTTTGTGTTTTGTTTTGTTTTTCTTTCCTCTAGCATCAAGTTGCTGTGCCAAAGCTGTGTTGGCTGATCAGGGTTAACAGAATTAGAAAGTGATGAAATGTTGATAAAACCCTGGTGATGAGTCATTAGCATACAAAGCAATCTGGTGACTAAGAACACAAGTTTTGTATTCCCATTTTTCAAGCACATGTATAGGTAGGAGCAATTAAAAATCCCCAGAAGAAATCTGTCTCAGAGCAGATTCTTTGCCTTTGATTAGTGCTGTGGAAGGTGCTGACAAATTGTGCAGTGCTTCTTTTTCATTTTAACTGAAAATCCCATTGCCTACCCACTTGTGAAGGCTGGGTTCTGCTCTCTCCTGGCTCTGTGGCCGGTTGTATTTCCACTTCACCCTCTGCTTCCAAATCTGTTGGATGTCTGAGCTCAGGAAGGAAACTCTGCATGTGCTTGAGAAAGGGGGGAGCCAGAGGCAGGTGAAGTTTATTCCCCTGAATTGCTCTTGAAGGCTCGTTCAAGATGTCAGAGTCACTGGTGACTCACAAAACGATGCCAGTGGAGCAACAGCAAAGCATCCGATTCTGTAGGTCACAGCCAGATCTGTTACCAGCCCATGGCCTACTCCACATGGGCACCATGTTCTGTTTAATCTCTGGTAAGCAATCATGTAATTACAAAGGGCTTCCTACAAACAGGTTCCTTGAGGAGAGGCCAAAGGGCAGAGAAGGGAATCTGTTCTCCACCTCACCTCTCCCAGCACCACCACGTTTATGGGCTTTGTATGGAGGTGCAGGACCCCTGTAGCTAATACCGTGCTGTCTGCAGTATTTGAAGACCTGAGATCCACTTTCACTTGCACTATATTGAAGTGGTGGTACTTCCACCAGTCAGCCCAGTGCTCTGACTGCTAGCCGTGGGGATTTCTGTGTCTTCTGCACCCCACAGGAGTTCTGGACCAGGACCCCACAGCCCGTTGCAGGAGCTTTTTGTCCTGATCTTTCCGTTTGGCCTGTCTGAGGGAAGTTCAGTGTTCCCAGTCCTTGACTGTTGTGTTAACTGGATTTACTGCCCCAAACAATAATTGCTGCCTTTCTGTGATGCAGTTTAGAGACTGTGTGAATTCTGTGAACTTTAGGAAGGGTGGGTCTTCCAGGTCGTTAGTCAGCTGTGCCTCCTCCCACGTGGAGAAATGGGGTGATGAGTGCTTCCAAGAAGCTTGAAGGAAGGTGATCTTCAGGTGTTGCAGTGTGCCCTTGGGGCTGTAATGAATGTAAATACTGACATCTACCAATTCTCTTTTAAAAATCTCTTTAGTGCTAAAGAGGCCCAAACTGTAATCCAACGAAGAGGGAAATTGGCCCTGAGCAGGCCTGGAGTGACACAGCCCTGTTCCTCAGTCCCTAAGTTTATAAGAATGGGAAAAGTGAGGCTGGTGGAGATGCTTTGTGCTGCTTGCAGGTGGCTCAGGTATCCTGGATTTTTCTTCCAGCCCAACTAGCTGGGTCAGGTGTCTCAGACAAAGGAGCCTGGCCTCATTTCCATCGTGCTTTCACAAAGGAATCCCAGGCCTTGGTGTGCGGCTGCTTCTGCTGCTGGAGCATCAGATTTCCTCAGTGCACCAGTGGTTCAGCGCTGCCACAGTTTGTTTTCTGGCTGCTTAAACTGTGAGCTGAAAGCACTGACCTCAGCATTGATTTCTGTCCCACCAAAACCTGGGCAGGTCGTACCGTATCCCAGAGCCTGCTCCTCATTTCCTTCTGTTATTCCAAACCTGCCTCAGTCCAGGCTTGCTGGTATTCCCTCTGCCCTGCTTCCTCCTGGTTCAGCCTTGGAGAAATTTTCTTCTGTGCCAGTTCTTTCACACAACTTTATCCATATTTGACCTACTTGTCATTTTTGTAGAGTCGTCTGAAAACAGCAGGAGAGGGAGAGGGATGATGGATCTGAGGGGTGCTGGCTCTTGATAAAAAAAAACATTTGCAGAACAGCGGACACCTCACGCAAATCAAGGCTGTGGTCTGCAGGTAAGGTGTGTTTCAGCATGCAGCTGTCTGTTATGTGGTAGCTTTGTATCCATGCTTTCTTGGCATGTCTGTCTTGTAAAGCTGGCTACCAATGTGCGCAACAGCCCAGTGAATATTCGCTCCATACCCTTAGGAGTCCCCAGCATGCTCGTGAGCTGCTTCTGCACCTCTGCTCAGGGGCTACTGGCCCGACTGGAAGCCGGACTCACACGGGTGCTTCCACAAGGCTGGGCCCTTGGCCCGAAGGGCTGGGACAGAGGGGAGGTGGCTGCGGGGCTGTGAGCTGCCCCCTGGCCTGGGGCATGGTGCCTCTGCCACCAGGAGAGCGGCCGGGCCCTTTCAGCTCCCTGACGGCTGCAACAGATTTCCAAAAACACTGACCCGAATTGGCACTGGCACGCTTCAGTCAGGCGTGGCGCTTCCCTCTGCGCGCTCCCTGGTGTGTTTAGCAATGGGAATTCACACCCAGTCCCACGCATAATCCCTTAGCAAACATTAACTCGCCGCTCCTAGTGGCGGGGTGCAGCAGACCAAAGCAGAAAATATTTCAATTCCCTGGCACATTTCTTTGGTATAAGAGTAACCTTGATTTTCAGTAGCGTTGATCAGATTGCTCATAGCAAGTATTTTTCACTGTAACGTTTTTTTTTTTTGAATCCTTGGAAATTTTGACAAGTCACTAAGCTGTCTGGAAACAAACAAACAAAATCCTTAGTAAGAGCTGTGGGCTCTGGCAATAATTCGGGGGTTACTGCCTTTCTGCCTCGCATATCACTAAGACTGAATCGGTGTCATTTTTAACTGGAGACTAAAATTGTACGGTAAAGCTCAGGTAACTTTTTAAAGACTTAAGAATTTCAGACGTAGGCAGCGTTTGCTTGAATATAGAGGATGGCAAAAGAGCAGAAGCAAGGCATTTAAGTCTACAGTCTGCTGGGATTTTCAATATTATTAAACGAGCATTAGTCAATCAAGGTGTAATGTATGGCAACAAGCAGATTAAAAAAAAAAAAGATTTTGTATTCATAAGTAGGAGCACCTAATCCAAAACTAGGAGTAAGTTGTAATGTGTTATCCTGCCAGTCTTTCCCCCGTAATTTCTCTCTTGAATTTCATGTAAAACACTGCTCTCCCCTGGAACAAAGGAGTCACGTTGCCTTTGTTCATTAAAAATTGCATATGTATAAAATGTCAGTGTTGTCTAAAACCCCTCGCTGTATGACTTGTGCCATACATCAGAACCCATCTCCTGCAGCCTGGCAACTCTCTCTGTTGCTATAGGGACGCGGCTCCGCCATCCTGTCACAGGGAACCTCAAGCATTCCTGTTTGCAGAGCTGCTACAACACCTCCAGCCCTCGCGTGTTTCATTCACTTGCTCGCTCCCATCCAGGAGTGCTTCTCCTCCGAATCTGGAGTTACTCAGCACTTCTGAACTCGTAAATGAAACAGCGTTCGTTAGCTGAAGAAAAGCCACACGATATTTTGAGGCACGCGTTTGGCTGGGATGTTGTTACTGCCCCTGGGCTTGTTTCACGTGCAGACACACAGTGTAATTAGCATCCCTTGCTGCGCATTATATTTGTCTTGGCGTACTTAAAATATCACAATCCCTGGCTTTTGTGCACCTGTCTGCAGCTCTATACTGAAGGGCAAAAGTTTCTGTGAGAAACATCCTGCCTTGAGGGCTAGGCCCACGGGTAAGGCAATCCGTTAGCAGAGAAGAAACTTCCTCGTGGTGAGTTTGTTGTGAGTCTGGATGCGATGTGGCTGTCGTGCTTTTTGTCAGATTGTGCTGTCCACAGTGCCAGACCCCACACCACGGCCAGCACAAGCCCAGAGGCGCGTGCACTCTTGTAGGTGCTGTGCAGATCTCAGGGGCTGCGGCATTTGCCCCTCGTTTGGCACAGCCCCACCGAGGAAAGGCGGGTGCTCGACCTGCCTTCTTGCTTCCAGGTAATCCTGGTAGTGAGCTAATTGCTGAGGGCTGGCTGTTTCTCCTGTGGAATGATTCCATTGGAATAATGTAAATTGTGTGTAAGATGTGCTTGGAAATACAAGGCAGATATTGATAAGGCTTGATTTTAAATGATGAAAAAAAGGGCTTTTTTTTTTTTCTTTTTTTTTTCCCCTTCCTTATAGACAAGTGTCTGAATGAGACAGAGCTGTTTTTGCCATGCTGCAAATACCAGGAGCGTGTATTGCGTGGTGTCCTGGGGCTCTGTGCAGGAGGAAGGGAGAGGCCCCAGGGCCCCGGTGTCACCCGCACCTCAGCTGAATGCAATCCCGCACTGCCAGGCAGGAAGAGATGCAGGGGCTGGGAGAGGAGCTCTGGTGTGGAAAAGGCTGGGAGCTGTGGCTCCAGGGTTTTCCTGCTCATCAGGAACACCCCGAGGGTTTCACTACAGTGGGAATAACAGCTAAAGATTTAAGCGAGGGCTAACAACAAGGAGAATAAAATAAGACTGCGAGAAAAGCAAGCAGTAAAGATTTCTCAGCTGCAGAATACTCCGTAACGCTGCAAAACAACATTGGCTCACTGCAGACCGAAATCCGGAGCCGCTCAGAGATTCCCCAGTCATTGACTGGTTTTAATGTATTCCTCGCAGCCAGCCAGCGCTCCGCTTGCGGGCACGGCAGCCAACGCGCCCCCGCCAATCACCGCCGCTGGAGCCGGGCTGCTCCTGCGAGGAACGTGAAGGAAGCCGATGGCTGCGGAGCAATGCAGACAAAGCAGGAGTGAGAGGCAGACAAAAGGGATGGAGTCCCAGGAGATGTGATCCACCCCGTTAAAGGAGGCGTCCGTAGCCTCTGCAGCTGTGTTGATGCTGCTTCGCGCAAGAGGCACCAGCCTCTCGTCCCCCCCGGGAGATCGTTACGGCATTAATTGCCTCTGCACAAAACCCGGCCGTGAGGCTGCTCCTCGGCAGCCGCCCGCTCCTGCCTCCAGCCCTCGCCGGTTCGGAGATCCCGGCCAGCAGGAGCGGTGCCCCTCCAGCTGGCCCCCGGGGATCAGATGTCACCTGTACCCAATGAAGCAGATCCCGAAGTGCCACGAATGGATCCCAGGATTCTTATTTTCCTCCTCTACGTGATGATCCTTCACGAGCTGGTGAGTGGCTGGATGGAGTACCAAAAGCAGATAGCCAAGCCGAAGAAGCAGGCGGGTCCGGTGTGGTCTTCTAGGTGAGTTTTTGTTGTTGTGCTTTCGAAGGGTGAACGGCTCGGTCCTGAAGCGGGTATGTTCTGGTGGGGAAGCTTTTGTGTGCCTGCATCACTCCCTGTAGACGTGTGCGTGTGCCTGTCTGTTGTGTGGCGATGCACACAGGTAGGATTAGGTCCGTTAATCTTTTGAGCCTGTGTTGTCTGAGCACGCCGTGTGTTTGACACACAGGTCCAGGTGCCTGTGATTTGTTTTTCTGTGGCAATGTGCTGCAACTCAGCATGTTCCCCGTGACTCAGGTTCCTGACCAACAAGCCTTGAAAATGAAAATGTGGGTACCACTTCAGGCAGGATGCTCATCAATGAGACACAAACCTCTAAGGACTTTGTAATCAGAGTATTTCTTGCTAAATCACCAGCGTGCATGTCACTATCTCTCCGTCTCCTCCCACCCTCTGGGCTGTGCCCACTACACAAATCCCTTTCGTGTTTTCTGCCCAACAACAAAAATAGGCTCTAGAAATAAGGCAATAGGAGGAAAACCCTGTGTACCTTTAAAATTCAAATATGTTTCTGCAAACATTGCACTGTATGCTTGGGGTAATCATGGCCTTAATATTGTCTTACAAAGAAAAATATCTTGGCAGTTCTGTGTTGGCTGCACGGTTAGAGACTTGCAACCTGGAATCCAAAATTCATCTCCTGCCGGGTCTCAGGCCATGGCACCAACGTGTCGTGGCTTTGGACCTAAGATGATGCCCGTGACCCAGTTTGCTCCTGGCCTGGCAGCCGCAGCACAGCGAGCAGAGCTGGCGGCTCCCCGTTAATCCTAATCCCGTGACGTGCAGCATCCCAGCCGCAGACACAGCCCCGTGCTGGGTGCTGCACGCGCTGACGGTGCCTCCACGGAGGGGAAGGCAGAGGTGCAAGCTTGTCCCCGGTTGTCCCCAGATCCTGTTGGCAGACGCTAGCCAGGAGACGCCAGACTCTTCATCTGCAGCTGAGGGATAAATTTGCTGGCTGCATTTCCTGACCAGCAAAGCTGAGCTGCACCTTGTGCTGTGCAGTTGTACGAGTAACGTGATTTGCACTGGGAATGCAGCCATGGGTGGAGGCAGCTCCAGTGGAGAAATAGCTTGAAAGCGATGGGCTGGCTGGGTTATATCTGAGGACAGAGACAGGTTTTGCCTCGCTGGCTTCAGGGAAGAGCACAGGGAGGTATTGGAGAATGACTCGCCTGGGTCTGAGGCACCCCAGTGCTGGCAAATGGATGTGATGCGGAAAACCTAATGAATATTTTATTTACCAGCAGCCAGCAAACAACCTGCATTCAGGCAGGATAATGTCATAGGATGGAGCTTTCAAAGAGAACCTAAGGGAAGAAGGCACCCCACCAGAAACAAAAACATCCCCATGGGGCTGGCATCTGACCCAGCCTCTGCTGGGGAGCTGGGACTGGGCGGGAGGGTTTGTGCAGGGCCCCACACCCTGGGCACGTCCCCGCCTTTCCCATCTGAGCCCAGCCCTGCCCTTGTGCCCATCGCTGTTGTACCTGGCCTGGACTAGTACCTGCGGTGACTCGTGCTGATGCTAAGGACCTTTGGCTGTGGCCGCAGGATGGATGCAAGGGCTCGTGCTAGAGCTCAGGGCAGGAGGTGAGCGGGGAGGCTGTAAGCACTGTGCTGGTTGCTTTGGTGGCTGGGCTGTGGCACAGCTGGGGAAGGGCATCTCTGGGTACCCCGTGTCCTTGTAGAGGTGCTGACCATGGCGTCATTTATTTTGCACCTTTAGCTGAGTCCAGCCAGCCTGGGAAAGCAGAGCTGCCAGCTCTGTGTGCATCACGCAGCAATCACAGGCTGCACCCTCAGCAGGAGAAGCTCTGCAGCGGGGAGAAGTGGGAAATTATGGGATGAACTGGGATCCTTTTAGCCAAAGTAGGATTGTCCTGGGGAGGGGCTGAGAGGATTTAAAACCAGCTCAATGTCGGTGGGGGAGAGCATGTGCAGGGGCCGGGCTCGTGGTGGCTGCTACAGGCTGCCGCGATGAGGCAGCGCCTTGTGAAGCTTTCTCGGGTGATGAGCCCTTGTGGGCACAGCTGGAGCCAGACATTCACCCTTCAGTATCAGCTTGGGTTTAGGAAGTGCTCAGAAATGGTCGTCACATCTGTAGAGCTCCATCGGCAGGGCAGGGGCAGCGCCAGCCAGCTCGCAGGCGGCTTTTCCACCGTGCGGCTCAGCGCCGGGCCGGGCACCATCTGCCCACAACAGCCTCCTGCCAGCCCCGGTCACCCATCTGCTGGCAGCTGGTGCAGCCCTGGCACCAAGGAAACCACGGCATCTGCGATGGTTTGGGGGATGAAAGTGGCCGCACGCCCACACCTGCACAGGGGCTGAGTGCGCGTAGCTGGGAGCCTGGGCGAGCTCAGCAGATGGGGCCCAGTGCGGGCAGCCACGGAGCTGCATCTCGCCCTGAATGCCTCTGCACTGCTCCTTTCCACCTCCTGCCAGGGGCAACGTGAGCAAGAGGCTGGTGCCATCCAAGATTTGGGGATTATTGAATTTTAGGATTTGCAGACGTTGCCAAGAAAGTCACCCAAAGCCTTCCTGTAAGAGCTCAGCCCCAGAAGCCAGCCCTCCCTGGGAGAGGAGGCCAGCACTGTCAGGTGAAGCTTCTCCTCCCGCCACCTCCCCAGCCTGCTAGTTTAAAGTAATTAATCTGAAAACCAATTAGGAAATGAAGTTATAAACCAGCAAGCTAATTAGGACACGACAGAGCTGTCTCTTGGCTGCACTTGCAGCACAGGCAGGGATTTCAGGGCTCGTCCTCCTTTTGTGGATGGTGAATGGCAACGAGCTCTGGCATAAAGCAGCTTTTCCTCCTGCTCATAGCATTTCCCCAGCTCTGTTTTCCTCAGCCACAGAAGGGGTCACGGCTCCACCAGCCCCCTCTGCCACTTGTGGGCGTGGTGGGGAGTTATTGGGGAGCACAGGAGGAGCGGTGCTGAGCAGGAGCCAGAAAGGTGGTGAATTTCCACTCGCCAGCCCCAGAGATCACCCCCACGCCCCCCTTTCTGCAGGGAATTTCAGTGCATACCCCTGCAGCTGCCACCCCTTGGTCTCTGAGGTCTGGGCATAGACGCAGGGGACATGTCCCTGGCTCTGACCCACATCTCTGACGCTGTCTCACTTTTCTCCTCAGCAGCAGCGCCACCAGACTGAACCACTCCAGCTTCTCCAGGCCGCTGGTCCACTCGGTGCGCAGGGAGCGCTACCGGGACTGGAGGAAACCAGGACGGATCATCCGGAAGGCGTGAGGACGCCCCAAGGTCTGTCGGGGAGCATGGGGAGAGCTTCCCGAGCCCAAAGACACCACCCCTCATGCGGCCCGCACCGACCACCGTGCAGCAGCCGGTGTGAGAGCATCCCACAGGCACCGTGAGCTGCGCCCTGCAGCTTTCTCCTTCCCCTGAGCCTGGTGTTGGTGAGAAGGAAAGAGCCCCTTCCTCACGGGGACCTGGCACTGCATGGCGAGGGGCAGGGGAGATGCCCCCAGCCAGCAGCAGTGGCCCCAGATGAGGTTTTTGCACCCAGCGCAGCGAGGTGACTTTTCTTTCTTCTTCCCAAAGGGCTGAGTAGATGGAGAGCAGATTTCTTTGGGGCAGAATGAAATGAATGAAATTTGCTCCTTGGGCAACTGTGGGAAGCCTCCAAAGGGTTTCAGTCTCCTCTCGCCCACCCGAGGGCTGCATGGCTGGTGAGCAGCGTTGCCCAAAGTGGTGGAAGGCTTTGGTGTCCCGCTGGTGACCCGTCCCCAGAGCCCCCGAGGGACGTGCTTCCACGGGGGCACCCAAAGAGATGGCACCCATCGCTTCGGAAGTGCTGGCTCCCTGTTCAGTCTCACCCACGGGGGTCTGTACGTTCTTTCTGCTTTTCGTCACGCTGTTGAGTGGGTGGCTGTGGGCTGGAGGAAGGAAAGCACCCTGAACTGGTGACTCAGAGTTATGCCACTGAAGGCAATTTGCTGCAATGACCTTGTAATTAGATTTCTTTGCAGCATTCCCAGCAGTCGAGGCAAATGTAAAAGTGACTTTCTAATGAGCAGATAGATGGCAAAAGAATACAATATTGCTCTTTTATTAGTCTGTGATTTAGACATAAAATTAGATTTCAGAGGCAAGAGTCGGTTCGTGCGTCCTGCCGCCCTGCTTACAGTCATGTGTGGAACTGGGAATCTCTGAGCGCTGGCAGGATTCTGACACCAGGCTCTAACAGCAAATGTTCAGGGCAAAACTGACTGCCTTGTTTGCTGAACATAACGTTTGGCTCAAACACAGCCTGTTTTTCTCGTTGCCAACCATTTATAAGCCTGACTCAGGCTCGCAGACGCATTATCCAGAAGTAGATAGGGAAGGGACTCGGAACCAGGCATTCCGTATGCTGAAGTAGCCACCTGCTGCATTTGCATGCCCGTCTGCTTCCTGGCTGTGTGCGAGGCGCTCCTGCGGTGGGGGCTGCGTTTGCTGAAGCTTGCAGGAGGCACCTGGGCGAGGGCAGAGCTCTGCGCCCGAACAGGGCACCCGGAGCCTAAGCAGGAGGAAGCTGGGGGCACCCTGCTCCTGAGGTACCCGTCCTCTGCCCTGGGCAAGCTGGCAAGCAGCTTGGTTGAAGGGCTCTGCTCCTCCGGGAGATGAAGTTCTGGCCTTGTGAGATGAAGTTTGTGTCTTCAGTTCTGAGATTTTTTTTGAGAAAGGAGCAAGAAGTAGTAAGGAACCTGCTTTCTGTGCACCCAAAAGGATAAACTTACAAAGATGTGCCTCAGCTCTGGGACACTGTGGCTATCCCCGAGGCGTCCACTGCCTGTCCCAGTACACACAGGTGCGTCCACAAAGAACAGAACAACAAAGAGAAGGTATTGGGGGAAAAAATACGGTGGGAAAGCATTTCTGGACGGTGGAGGTTTTGCTTTCCTGGCGTTCAGCCTGCCCCCAGCCCGTGGGGGATGTGGCTGGGTGCTCTGCCTGCCCTTCTGCTGGTGTGGGGGAACTGCTGGGAGCGATCAGCACGCAGAGCTGTGTACCTGAACTCCTGGGGTGCTGCGGGACGTGGCCGGGCTCCCAGCCTCAGCAGAGCAGGGGGACACAAACGGGACAGAGATGTCCAAACGGCCGCACCCTTGGGAAGGGACAGGAATGCTTTGCTTTGCTGATCACATGCTGGATTTATCCCTGTAAATGCCCTCCTGTTTCCTTCCAATAAACTCTTTTACATACACCTTGTTTGCATTGTCTCCTTTCTCCTTCAGCCCTTACATGTCTCTTACATGTCTCTTCACGGCTTTGGCAGCCTGGGAGCTAGCACAGGCAGTGGCTGCTGGCAGCGTAAGCGGTGACTCAGAAGGGCTAAAAGCATCTTCAGATGCTGAACTTGTAACACAAATGCTTGTTTTCTTGTCTTTTCCGCAGAGGAACACGTGGCTGCAATCCAGAGTCTTGTTTTGGATGGTTGTAGGCTTTGCTTTGTTCTTTTCCTTTTTTTTTTTTTTTTTTTTTTTTTTTTTTTTCCTTCTCACACAAATATCCAGGTTGCTCTGCAGCTGTGTCAGGGAAGCTCCTGCCCAAGGGGCGCTCCTGCAGCGGGAGCTGATGGTGGCAAAGAGCTGAGGGGCGGTGGGCTCTACAGAGACCGGGGCCAGCCCAGAGGCAGCCCTGAGGCCACGCTCAGTGCTTTAAAAGAAAAAGAATAAAATAAGAAACGAACAAAGTGCTTACTGTAAGCCACACCGCAGCCCTCACTCGAGGCTTCTCATGGGGCGCTGCACAGTGCTGCAGATGGAAGTCCCTGCGTGCAGCTCGGACTGCAGTCGATGCTGTCCGGTGCTATGATTAGGCTCCGTGGGCTGTGCTCCAAACCACCGCTTTCTTAGAAACTTCCCTTTTGCCTTGAAATGGCTCAGAGAAGTCCTGCCCCTCCATGCCAAGCCAGAGAAATCCCCGGGTGGCTGGGTGCTGGGTGCAGGGAGGGTTCCAAGCACTGCGGTGCCACCAGCCCTGGAGTGACCCCCGGGGACTGCTCCGCTCTGGCCCCAAAGAGCTCTCTGGGGTGGAGCAGCAGGAGGTCACCCTCCAGGTGACAGGCTAAACCAGGGGAATTTTGTACATAAAGAAGGAGCAAAATCCCTGCTGTGCTTAGAGGCAGGGCTGGATGCTGCTCTGCGTTCCTCCTCTCCAGGTCCTGCTCTGATCCTTAGCGCTGTTTTTGAGGTAAGTCTGTGGTTAATGGCTTGTGTGATTCACCTTCAAGGTAAGTGAAAATTCATTTTTTTTCTGCCTTGCCTTGGTAAGTCAATTCTGATTTTTTTTTTTTGAGTAATTCTTAGTTGTTTTCTCCTTAGTGCTTTTAATTTCTCATCTTACTCAGAGTAGGGAGGCTCTCTTTCTTTCATGAAGAAATTACTGCATATATTTAAACTCACTTTCTACAGGGCAGGGTGAACCGAGGCATCAACCCCAGCCCTCACTAGCACAGGAAAAATAAAGCTGAGGAGCCTGAGGACTGTTTGCCACCCCCAGAGCCAGGCTGGTCACTGTGTCCGCAGCGGTTCTGCTCCGGGCAGGAAGGAAAGGCTCTGCTTGCTGCCAGCTCTCTGCGATGGGGCAGCCCTGGTTCGGGTTTTCTGGATCAGTTGCAAATCCTTGTGGATGATAGCAGCAACAAAACCTTATTTTAAAAAAGTGCTTAATTTTGGAAAGCTTCACTTCTAGGGCAAAAAAGACAGAGGTGAGCAAACTGTTAATGCAAAGGTGTCTGCAGTGGCCGTACACCTTTTTGTATGAGGAGGTATTGTCTTTAGGTGTTGGCTAAACCAGGGGGGTGCTGGTTATTAATCCATAGTGCCCGTGGCTTTGAACTCCTGTTTTCACCAAAAGGAGAGTTAAAGGCTGCAGTGAGGAAGTGGCACCCTGTGGGTGGTGGTTCTCAGCCCTTTCTGAGCTGCTCAGGCCATGTCCATCGCCCACCACATCCAGCCAGCCCTGAGCAGACAGAAAGGTGTGGTTTAATCACAAGTTCCTCTGGCCGACAGAAGCCATGAGAAACCAAAGGTGCCTTTGCCTGAAAATGCATCAGCTGTGAAAACACCTCCACGCCCCATTTCTCCCTGTGGTCCATCCCTGGGCACAGGGGCTGCATCCCAGAGCAGTGCTGAGCACTGGGGGATGCTCGGAGTGGTGGGCTCATACCCTAAAGGCAGCTCACACGAGAGCCAGGCTTTAAAGCCAAGTGCTTAAACACAGGCAAAGAAAAGTGCCTGATTTCAGGTTCATCCAGGTAAGGATTGAGGCTCCCAAGTGGCTGGGGAAAGCTTTCCTGCTGGTGAGACACCAACGGGCTCAGAGGCTGCGTGCCAAAAAGGAGGAGGCTCGGCACTGCCGTGGTGGTCCTGCTCCTCGCCCTGCCACCACTGCTGCCAAGGAGATCAGTGGAGGTCACCCCGTGGTGGTGAGTGCCAGCGGCTGAAAGTGCAGCCCCGGGATGGCACCGGGCAGCCCCCGGCTCCTTGTGCAGTAAATAACAAGACCTAAAAGGCACAAACCCAGTGGGGTGGAGACCAGCAGAAGCAGCAGCCCCATGGTCCTCCCTCCTGGAGAAAGAGACCGGAGCTGCTCCCTGTGCCAGGTTGCGCAGCGCCCTGCACCCCCTGGGGTGTCCTGCTGTGCTTGGCGGGCGGTGCGAGGATTTCGGATGCGGCAGCTGAGCGGGGCGGGTGTGTGGGGGCTGCTCTGTCTGCCGGGCGGTGAAGTCTGGCAGCAGAAGGTGGGGTAATTCAGTCGGCCGCTTGCCAGTTGCGCTGTAACAAAACCTGCTAAATGATTGTAGTGTGGGTGATGCTGGGCTCTTGCAAGGGATTTTAAATGCAGAGGCTTTTGGAGCCAGGCAGTGACAGCATCATTCATTTCATCTTCTCTTGTGAGCAGTTAGTAGCGGTTAACGTGTGAGCTGCTCCTGTGGTTCCTTTGTTGCCTTTTCTCTTTCTTTTGCAGCACAGGCAGAGGAAGCCAAGCTGAGTGTAGCGGGGTCGGGTCCGATTACCACAAGGTCGTGCTTGCTTGTGAAGAGTAGGACGTGGCCCCTTGCACCTGCCAGGTCTCCTCCGTGGTGCCTGTGGTAATTAATAGTCATTGTTTGGCCACAGATCTTCAGCCTCAGCGACAGTGTTTGAAAACCCGCCTCTGATGCAGCTCAGCCTTCATGTGCAAGAAGATGAGCTCGGGTAGATTCACTGCTTTCTCTCTTCCACCCCAACCCTTGCAGGACAGCACAGAGGTGTCCGAGGAGCTGCTGGCCTCGCTCGCCTTCATGAACACCAGCTCGGACTGCTTGCCCCAGGAGCTGCACGCTGCCATCCCTGCCCTGGGGACCCTGCTCCTGCTGGGCTGCATCCTGCTCAACGGCGTGAGCTTCTGGGTCTTCTGCTTCCACATCAAGCAGTGGGATTCGGGCATGATCCTCCAGTTCAACCTGGTCCTGGCAGACATCACCATCATCCCCGTTGCTCCCCTCCGGATTTCCTACCTCAGCCTCGGCAGCCGGTGGCCATTTGGCCAATTTCTCTGCCAGCTCGAAGTCTTCCTGCACAGCACCCACATGTACGGCAGCATCTATTTCCTGATGCTCATCTGCATCCACCGGTACTTTGTGGTTGTTCGGTACAAGAGCAAGTCCCTCTGGAAGAAGAGGACCTTCTTGAGAAAGCTGTGCTTGTTTGTCTGGATCGTCCTCTTTGTCCAAGGGCTGCCTTTCTTCTTCGTCCTCAAAACTTCGTTTATTGATGGCTCAGAAAGATGCCTGAATATTCACCAGTCAGAGTTGTCCTCTGTTTACATAGTCTACAACATGGTTGTGGTTGTGTTCTCTTTCCTCCTGCCCTTTGCTGTTTCCTTGACCTGCGGTGCTCTGCTGGGAGCTGCCATTGCTAGAGCAGCCAAGAGAAGCTCCAGAGGTAAGAAGATGAAGAACAGGTCTCTGCAGATGATAACAGTGTCTCTGGTGATTTTTGCCATCTGCTTCGGTCCTCTGCACATCTGCAGGACCATAGGCGTCGTCGTGAAGTACTACAACATATCTTGCCAGCTCCTGCACCAAGTGGAAGTTGCCTACTACATCAGCTGGGTCTTCACCATGGCAAACACCTGCCTGGATCCCCTGATCTACGTGTTTGCCAATGATAAGTTTAAGAAGAGCTTTGCTGACTCCTTCCGCAAACGGTGGGGCACCAACAGAGTGTGGCAGGGAACTGGGAGCCCCCTGAGGGAAGGTGCTGAAGAACTGGACCCTGAGCTTCTCCCTCCTTTTTTCTGTCCCAGGTCCCCAGAGCTACCAGCAGCAGTTCAGCCTGGCAACACTGCAGGACCTGGGGGTTTCTCTGTGTTCCCCCAGTGACACCATGGGGTTGTTCCTGCAGGCAGGGGCTCCCTGGGCTCTGAGGAAGCTCTGACTATGCACAGCTCCTGGTTGTATCCCAGGTGGTTGGACCTCTTGTGCATGGGTTTCCTGAGAGTGCTGAAAGAGCCAAGCCCTACTGGGTACAAGGGGGGAATAGGGAAAGAATTTATACCTAAAGTCATAAATCAGGAGAAAGTCCAGTGAAAACTGTTGTGAATTCCTGACTGTGAATGTTTTTGTGCTTTTTTTGGGAGGAGGGTCTGCATGTGTATGGAGCTGAGGAGGGTGCAGGTCCCAGCACTCACAGAATGCCCCCTGTCCAGGCACCCTTGGGCACCAGCACCTCCCCATGCACCACTGGGCTGGGGCCAGGCTCCCCCTTACCCACGCATCTGATGGAAGGACAAGGGGGCAGATGTTGAGCCATGGATGAGGGGTACAGGCGGGAGGTGTGTGGATGGGGAAAGGAACTTCATCAGCCTGGTAGGAAATCTGGACTCAGTCTGTTGGAAGGTCCTTGGGAACAGGATTGTGTGCGCCCCTCTCATCAGCCTGCCCTTGTCCCACGACGACTGGGCTGAAAGCCTGCGAGGAGCTTCCTTCACCCCACTCTGAGTGGCAGCCAGGGAGAGCAAAAGTGTGGGGTGAAGGGTGCAGAAACCTGGAGCCTGAATGCAAAGGCCGTGCTTGTCCTGTTTGGGCACGTTGCCTGGCCAGCCCTCAGCCCTCTGGCTGCTCTCATCCTTGGCACCTTTACCTTGAGGCAGGGGACTGTGTTTCATGGTCTTCTCCTTCTTCAATCACACCATGCAGATGGGTGCCTGGCCTCTGGGAGCATGGCAGCCCCAGGGCAGTGGCTTCTCCCTCGGGGTGGTGGGAAGTGGCTGCAGGAGCAGGGGGAGTGGAAGAGCCTGAGCTCGTGGGGGCAGAACTGCTGAGCTGGGTGCTGGGTCAGCCGAGGTGGAGGAGCCGGCAGTTCTTGGGCTGCTCAGGGTTTCTGCAGATTAGAAATACAGTATAGCTTTAAAAATGTATATAATTTTGTGGGGGAGCAGGCTTCTTTTAAACCCGGGTTTGACACTGGAGGATGTGAGAGTGTTGGAGGCTCTGACTGCTGCAGCTCCAAACTCATAATGGAAAGTGAGGTGCAAAAATAGCGTTTAAAAGAGTGGGCAGAGCTGTAACGTCACTTCCCCTAGGGTCATATGCTCCAGCCCTTCCCTGTGCCCTGCCTCAGTTCACCTCTCTGTAAAACAGACCCAGCCAAGCAGAGTTGTGCTGACTAAACAGAGCTGCACACTTGAGTGCATTTTTGTGTTACAGGGTGGCAAACCATGGCAAAGAAGGCGGCAGAGAGAGGAGAAGCTGGCTGGGTATAAGGCAATGGCTTGGATGTTCAGGGTTTATTTTTAGGCTTTGCTATACACTTTGTAAGCATGATACAGGATCCAAATTTCACTTCTCCATCTCTGAAATGCATCTAATTGCCCTTCCTTTTTCTGTCTTGCCTCTTTCAACTGAAAACCTACAGCCGCAGATCATGCTCACAGTTTACTTTCTGTATGAGCAAAGCCAGGCACAGAAATCTTGATTTTGTCTGGATTTCCTGGAAGATGCTGTAATGACTGCTGCTGCTAGGACAACAGGGAACAAGACCTCATCACCTAAGAGGAATTGGGCTGTGGTTGGGATTTTCGTCAAGGTTTTGGTTCCCAGTATCCCACTTCAGTTTGGGTTTGGATGTCTCAGCTGTTGGATCTGCCTCCATGCCTGCTCTTTCCCTTCTGGTCCACCAGCGGAGCTGTGGCCAGCTAACTGCCCACAGAACCCAACAGATAATGCGCTCATCCTGGAAACTGCTACCAAGGGCACCCAGAAGTGGCCAGGAGACTCATTTTCTAACTTTGCTTCCCTCTCCCAGTTAATTCTTTGGCTAATCCCTGCCTGCCTTGCAGGGGGAAGTTGTGCAGCTTAATTTGATTTTTGACTATAATGATAGTTAATCCCTTGCATGATCAGACAGAAGGTGTTGTTCCTTACTGTTGGTAATGCTGCTTTTGGATGGGTCCTATTGCAACATTCAGGCAAGCTTCATAGTCCTGCCTTGCATGGGCATGTGGGTGGCAGCGAGCTTGGTTTCGGGCTCCTGCTTGAAGGAGGAAATATTTTTGTGTTGAGCTGATACAAAAATGAGGAGGCATTTGTATGTGTCTGTGGAAAGGGTGGCTGTCCCTGTCCCCGATCACAGCATTTGCCAAAGTGTCCAACAGAAAGCTGAAGACTCATACTCAAAACCCAGGCGAGCAAGTGATGGGGAGGAACCACATCAGGATAATCCCTTTTTGTTCCACCAGGGAGCACAGCTTGAGTAATTTTGATGCAAAATGTTTTCCAGATCAACATTCACCTTTCTCTTAATGAACTGGCAGTCAGTAATTCAGCCATGACAGCTGGCTTGAAAACCAACAGCTGTTCAGGCAAGTACAGCTACGGCCAATGCTCGGGCACCAAAACGTATCTGCAGTCTTGCATGTGACTGTATCTCATCCTACATTTAAAAACCCAACTCTACCCTAAGCAGGACCACAAATCCTCTTTTCTAGGTTTGAGCTGCTAGTATTTGGTAACTGCAGTGAAAACATCCCATCTCACATAGTCACAGCATGACTGGGTCCCTCTGGTCCAACCCCTGCTCCAGCAGGGTGCCCAACACCACATCCAGGTGCCTTTAGAGGATCTCCAAGGAGGGAACTCCACAACCTCTCTGAGCAACCTGTGACAGTGCTCTGTCACCTGCACTGTGAATAAACGCTCGCTGATGGCCAGGGGAACCTCTTTTGTTCCAATTTTTGCCCAGTGCCTCTTGGAGTTGGACTCAACAATCCTTGTGAGTCCCTTCCAACTTGGGATAGTCTATGATGCTTGTCCTGGCACTTGGCACCATGGAAAAGAGCCTGGCTCCCTCTTTGTTGCACCTTCCTTCAGGTATTTATAGATGTTGATGAGATCCCCCCTGAGCCTCTGTTTCTCCAGGCTGAGCAGTCCCAGCTCAGCCTCCCCTTGCAGTAGAGGGGCTCCAGGCCCTTCTACATCCTGGTGGCCCTCTGCTGGGCTCCTTCCAGTACATCCAGGTCTTTCTTGTACTGTGGGGCCCAGAGCTGGAGCCAGCACTCCAGGTGTGGCCTACAGTACTGTGTCCTGTTCTCAAGTACTGTGTCCATTTCAGGAGTGTTTGATCTTGAGGAACTTGTAGGATCATGGTCCCTATTCACTTGCTATAAGGAGACTGCCTTTAAGCTTTTGCTGTTTTAAGGTGATTCTTACACCTTTCTGAGATGAGCTCGTGCACTTATAAGGCACACAACCACACCATTACTTAGTTAAATTTAGGTTATTGCTGCTTGATAGCTGCACCTTTACTGGATCTGAAGCCTCACCCAGATGCCATACCAGGCACCTCGTTCACAAGGCAGTCACCGTTTGTTTCTAGCTTTGAGCAAAGGTGAAGGTGCTGATGGTTTCGGACCATTGACCTGTACCACTTTCAGGTTTCAGGATCTTGATGCCATCTCCTTCACTCCAGTCTAAGCTCACGTTGGATCCCCCCAGCTCTGAGCCCTGGTTCAGCCCTGAAAGGTGGCCAAGGGCTGGGGGCAGCAAATGGGGGTTTTCTTCCACCAACTCTCTGTTGCTGGGCTGAAGGGGAGAGGGGAGCCCAGCAGGAGTGTGACAGGCTGTGGCCAGCAGTGAACACCCATGTCCAGGTTGAGACACAGCCCTGGGTGAAGGCCACGGCCCTGCCTGGCCCAGCCTCTGCAGGCCCGGCTGAGCGGCCTGCTGTAGTCTTTGCAGACTGGCCCCAGCATGAACCTCTCATAAGGCCATTTATTAAACGTGCACAGAAGCAGCTTGTGATTAACAATCGTGGCTTTTTGTTTGTTTTGTTTTTTTTTTTTAAGGCAGAGAAGAACTATCAGGTCCCGCTCACTGTGCACATGGCAGAGCGTCACTGGGCCAGGATGAACAGTGTAAAGGGTTCAGTTACTGACTGAGCTCATGTGAACAGTGGTGACCAAAGGAGTAGGCTCTGTAATCCTATAACTGGTCTCCCAAATCCTTCTGACCATTTAGTGAACAGCCACAGGCAGTTCTGTGGTGGCTTTCAACTGAGCTCAGGCCTGGAGCCCGCTGCAGGCGGTCTTGTTTCAGCATCCTGCATCCTCCAAACAACCTTCCCGTGCTCAGCACAGTTTTGGAGTCCTTGCACTCATGGGTAAGAGGTGGGCACAAGAACTAAAGGCTGACTGGAGCAAGACTGCTGATTTTCTGTAGACCATGACAGTCTTCTGGACAAGCCCTGGTGAACCCAAGCCCAGAAAACTACCTTGGCACCAAGTCCCTCTGTACAATCTGGAGGCATGGAGATCCTGGTCCCATGTAGATCCACCAGCTTTTAATTTATATTTTTGTATTTAAGCTCATTGAGCAGCACTGCAAAGTGGGTGAGGAGCTTGCTAAAGCACTAAAAACCACAGAAATGTCTTGGAGCATGGGTGGATGGTGCTTTTCCATGGTGCAGCTGGGTTTAACCTCTGGATTAAACCAGTGGTTTCTTCCCAGCTGACACCAAACCCAAACCATGTGTCAGTCTTTGCAAAGCATGGTGCTCAGCATGGTGCTGAGGTTTGCATTGCAGTTTGATTGCGTGGTTTCACCTTGTATGCTGTGTTGTATGGCACACTGCACTGAGGTTTGCAACGCGTGGCGCTGCAGCAGCAAGTTGTGTGCATGGGAGCGGGGTTGCTACAGACGGGCTCTGCCCTGGGGAGCCAAACAGCGATGTTTTCAGCAGAAGGCAGTCACTTAGGTGCAAACACTTCATTCCGCAGACTCCCCAGTTTTCCATCAACCCCTCCCTCCCCCGGGGTGATACCAGCCCATCAGCACATTAAACGGCCCACGACGAGCCACGGTGAGGTGTTCCCGTGACGTGGGAGCCCTCCTGCGCCATCCCAGCAGGCACAGTGGGAGGAAGGACACTGCTGACGTGGGCTGGGGAAAGCCCTTGGCCTCGCCTGCCATGCAGGGCTGGGACACGCTGCCTGCATTGCGTTAGGAGCCCAGCAGCTCCGAGCTGGTGTGTGGGCAACCAGCGCTGCCAGAACCTGCTCACCCAGCAGCGCCCATGGCCGCTTCCCCACATTTTTAGTTGGTGACTTGCAAGCAGGCTTCCTGTTTGTGAGATGATAACGCACAACCACAGCCTGGATGAACACACCATGCCAAAGCCCAGCTCATCCCTGCCACGACATTTACGGGATGCTGTCTTGGCTTGGTGCTGTTGTGAAAGCTTGCTTCCTCTTCCAGCAGCTCAGAAACCAAGAGCTGGGGCTGCAGATCACTAAATCAGCTTTAGAACAGTTGCAGGGGCTGCGGTCTGTGCTCTCATCGCTAATTTGGGGCGTTCCAGGAAGGAATGAGGTGCCTTTTTAAGTTTATTTCTGAACACAAAACAGAAAATGGAAAATCTGCAGACTGGGCATTGGGGGTGATTGCATGGAGCTAGGGGCAAGAGACTTAAATGCTGTGTGTCCCTTGAGCCCTGCAAACAGGGAGCTTTGCAGTGCCTTCTGCAGCTTCCAACACAAACAAAGCTGGGCCCAAAGCTGTGGTCCTGGTGAGAGGGCTCTGAGCACTTTGGGGCTGATCGCCAAAGGGTGCTTATGTGGAAGAAATGTTTACAAGAGGGATTTGTGTGGAGAGTGGCCTTTAGATGTCCCTGGCACCATTTCTGGTTAACAAAAGCCATTCACTGAATCCTGTCCCGCTGCCCGGCCACACGCCGAGCTGGCTCGTGGTGTCCACCAGGCTGGGGAGACCCCACCAG